TCAATTATTTTTTTGGAAGTCTAAAAAGCAAACCAATGTGTCCAGATCATCAAAAAAATACGATGTTTTCACTCACTATTTTCTGAAAGACAAGTCGATTGTTATTGACCTACACTCGCAAATACAATTTGAGTGTTATTGACCTACACTCGTAAAGACAAGTTGAATATTATTGACCTACACTCTCTAACTTGAGGGGAGTATTGGAATATATTTTATACAGCCGTTTAAGATTTTATATTTGATATATTTTATCTTATGTTGTTAGTAGAATATTTTCTCTTATTTTTAGGATTTAGTTCGTTTAAATGTTGTGAACATTAATGAAAGACTTTAGATCCTACTAATACTTTTGATCCCACTTATGTTCGGATGTTCCATCCCACTTAAGTTTCTTATTCTTAACGTGGTATCAGAGCATCATTCTTAACATGTTCGGTTCTTAATTTAGTAACTCGTTATTGAAGAATCAGATTTTTTTATAATGAAATGCGTTATATAATATATTTACAAACAATAGAAAATAGAATTTCATAATAAAATACATAAAAGTAGGAAAAATCGAGGGCAATGTCGTAATTTAATTATTCTTTTGCATTAGGCTTATAAACGTCTAGTTTCATTGCATGTAATAAAATTAATGATTCCAAGTAATTATAATATGAACTAATTGTGAGAATATTTTATGAAAAACGATTTAGTTATTTTATGGATAAAAATAGGTAAGATTTTAGAAAAATGATTTTGGTATTTTAAAATTATTAAATATTTTACTAATGTATTGTTTAGACTCTTTGGTAGATACCCTCGGGGTACCATGGATTGTATCCCAAGATTGAGAATTTCCAAGCACGTCAAAGTTGTGGGCAGAGTAGAATAGTTTTTACGGAGTGTCTTGTAATTCTTTCTTGATTGGTTATAATAAAGAGTGCGAGTGTATAACGATTCTAGTTTTCTACTAATCTAAAGTCGTTAACGTCATCTTAACCTAAGCTTTTGTGTGGAATTTAACTCTTAAAACATCGTCACAAAATCATAATCCATCTTAAAAATATAACATCATCATAAAAAACACCGTCATGGTCTTATATGTTTAAAAACATAATTTATAAACAATAAAATTAAAAACGATAATAATAAATAATTCAAAAACATGAAATGCATAACAACCTATTCTAATTTAAGTCTAGGAATTTAAGAATGCAACTAGCCTATGCACGTGTTACCGTCTCTGATTGCGATGTCGTCATTAACCTTAAAGGGGTGTCTTGCATTTACCTACACGGCCTGAGTATTTCGAAGAATACTCAGTAAGTGACCTCACTATAAGGGCCACAAAAAATGCAAACCCATGCAAATGATGCTCTGGGGACCTGTCGTTAAAACATCCTAGGGGTGGTCTCAAGTCTAGAGTAAATTAGATGTGCAGTACTTCCCTACACACGACCCACACGTGCGAGCGTTAATCTCCAAACAGTTCGCACCCCACTAAACCCATCATAGTCAAGTAGCTATCTGTAGCAATGTCATGAGGTCAGCAGACTCCTGAGTGTCATGCACGACATGATCACCATCATCATTGTAGCGTACACATTCATACTCATCATCGTAAAAGGAAAAGTATTCTCATGTATATGTACACATAGAAATGTAGGAGGTCTGCATAGTTTATCGTCTTTATAAACATCTTTATGACACAACCCTAATTTCATCCTTGTATTACTAGCAGTAATATGCATTAGCCTTCATTCTTTCATCATCATTAACTAAGGTTGTGTCCTAGGAATATCATCCCCATAATGCAATAAGACCTTCATAACATGTTTCTCATCTTAATATGAAACGTACGCCATACTAAGGAAATAACATAATCTAACATCGTCATCATCATACAATGTCATCATAAACACACCATAATCATCGTAAACATTATCAAACATCATAATATAGCTCATACACGCTATCATATGGCATCAATCATAATTAATCATCAAGGCATCATAAGCATAAATCATAAATAACTCGTGTCGGTGCCACTAGACACATGTCGTCAACATCGAATAATTATCTAGCTTATCCTATACTAACACCACTTATATGTTTGGCCTTAGGCGGCGTTTCCCTAATTTCAAGTATTCTAAGCTTCTGTTCCTTGAACCTACTCCAAATGTCACTTGAGATTGTTCCTTATTAGGTCGTTCATTACCTTTCGTTAGTATTTCACAATTATAATTTAAATTCAACTTGAAATAGTGAAATAGAGTATTGTCCTTAATTACCTTCATTAGGGTCAAAATCGGCTTCAAGAGGGTTAGAACGGTAGAAAATGATTCAAAAAATTTTACCGAGCCGAGTAGCCAAAGTACATGCGATGACGATTATGAATAAGCTAGCCTAGAGTAGGGGTAAAGTTGAGCTGGGGGATCACGCATAGTGTAGAGGCAAGTTGATTAAGCTCGCAGACAATTAAACATGCACGTATGGGCAGCATATATGACTAAACAAGTTTAGATTTTGCATGAGTTGGGTTCGATTTGCGAAGGAAAACTTCACTCAAGGTCCAAGAAAGCCACAAAGTCGAGCTAAAAATGTGAAGAGGAATTGAGTTTCTCTTGAGGCTTGTCATGAGCATGTCAAGATCATGATACCGCATGGTTGAAATTGTACGGCCATGACACGGTGCATAAAGTGTTTCATGCCTTATTGCTATGGAAGTACAACCCAGAACCTATACGTGTGGCACTCCCAATTAAAGATGATCTGTCTTGTGAAGAGAAGTATGTTAGGATATTGGCTTGTGACGTGAAGTAGTTGTACAACAAAGTGATTCCCTTGGTTAAGGAACTATGGGAATAACGAGGCGACCTGGAAATATGTAGAGGACGTCAGGAAGTTCTACCTTGAGTTGTTCTAGAAATGAAAAACTTTTAGGGTCGAAAGTTGCTAAAAAAAACTAAATTTTAAGTTGTGTTGAAAAATGCTTAGAGAACTCTTAAAGATGAATGCACTCCCTTACTAATTAATAGGTCTTATTTAATCATAAGAAAATAGATCGGGGAAAAATAAAAAGAAAAGAAAAATGAAAGAAAGAAGGACAGATAGGTTTGAAAGTGATGAAAGATGGAGAAAATCGTTTCACCTTCATTTTGGTCGTTTGGTGTCGTTTCTGACGAAGGTCTCTTCGTAAAGTTGTTTATAAGTGATAGGGGAAGCATTCTAGACGCTTTGATTATCCAAAACCATCAAAAATCGAAAAAGAAAGAGAGGTAGAAATTTTAAATTTTAGCTTCTATTTTTCTCTAGATACATGAGATTTCTATCTATATAGGTTCTGAAATTTTACCAAATTGTTGTAGAGAGCATTTTTCACATTTGTTGTGAACGAATCTTGAAGCAAACTCATTAGTAGTTCGATCTCAAAGTTTAACCTCAAGAAGGGTAAGAAATGAGTTTGTAGCCAACTTTCAACCTGAATATTTCCTTCCATGGTTTATGAATCTCTATGAGGGTAGTTTAAAAAGAAATTTGGATCAGAACTTTTCAACTTTGATGAGAAAAAAATTTGAATTGAGATACATTAAAAACTTAAAACTTTACTTTAGAGGTAATAAATATAATTTTCTTATGTTCCAATCCTATCTGGGCTTCACTCTTTCACTTGTTTAGTTTTTCATAGTCCCTCGTGGTATAACCCAATCAAAGCTCTTATCTAAGTGATATAGTATATCACTCAATTCACTGAAATGCATCTATTCATTAGAGTTTGGTGCCGGCTCTGAGTTATTTCCTGTTTATAATTTATGAGGTGCACTACACGGAATTAGTTGACAACTCCTTAATAGATCAATCCTCATGTTTGTCAACTACTATGTATCCATGTTATAGATCCTCTGCTTGTTTCCATTCATAATATTCTTTTAGCAAATAAGCTAATCTAGGAGCTTTGCCCTATCTATATGAACTTCCAGTCATCGGGGGTGTCAAGAGGAAATCGGCTTCCGTGCAAATTATGATGGTGACGTCCATGTAGTCCTCAAGTCAAACGTGAAGAAATCACCTCATATTTTTGTCAGACCGTGCAAATACTATTAATAAGTCTCCTAATCATCCCTACATGGTCACAACATCCTACCGTACAATATTGATCATTGGTTATAAAATAGAGTGTCATAGCACATAGTCTAAACCCATATCATGCTCATGTTTCACCTACTTGGCAACATTGTTGTTTCTCATGATTTTAAAACTACGAAGAGTGTCGCCAACCTTATTGTTTCTCATGGTCTTAGAATTAGAATTAGAATTGACAATAATCCTGTTCTTTCTCATAGTCTCAAACATTACCTCAAAACTACATAGAGTGAAAATCTTACTCTTTATCATAATCTAAAAACTAGAAGATTGTTTCTCATAGTCTTTTGACAACCTCAAACGTGGTCTCAAAACTACAAAAAATTACAATAACCTTGCTATATATCATGATCACAAACATGATCTCATTAACTACAAATAGTTGACAACCCTATTTCTCATGTATGAATGAGACAAATAATCCAAACAAATACAATCCATCAAGAAAAAAATCTCTACCACGTTATAGAAGAATGTTGAGTTCTTAAAATAAAATAAAATATCAAATTATTACACATCAAAAGTAGGAGAGACTATCAATGGTATGTTTTTGTTTAAAAATATAATTATCATTAAAGTTAGAGGGAGAAATTAGAAATTAGAAATTAAATAGTCAAACATTCTATGTTTGGAATAGTTCAGGAACCAGAAAATTTGAAAATCTTTTTAAATTTTGTGGTTTTTTCTAAATATAGTTTTCTCGTCCAACTATATATAGAGCTTCACATCATCACTAAAATCCAAGCACTCACACCATAGTCATTGCTACTCTTCATCATTTGTGAAACGAGCTTGTAACCCTACAACTTAAAAGACAATCCACAATGGCCATGGGCAAAGGTTTCAAGCTCTTTCACATCGTTTTCTTGGTGGTTGCTTGGCAATGTTGTGTGAAAGTGGGTGCCACTTATGGCGATGTCACCGGTGTCGTAAAGCTCGATCATCAATTTTCATTTCGTGCTTTTGGATCACATAACACACAAACCCCAACGGTTGCACCAATTGCAAGTAGCACAGAAGTTCTAGTGGCTTCACCGTTTGGAAGCATCGCTCAAACTCCAGAGGCTCTAACCCCGGAGGCTGCATCAGCTGGAACCATTGCTCTAACCCCGGAAGCTGCATCAGTTGGAACCATTGCTCTAACCCCGGAGGCTGCATCAGTTGGAACCATTGCTCTAACCCCGGAGACTGCATCAGTTGGAAGCATGGCGCAAACCCCAACCATTACACCAATTGGAAGTAGCACACAAACCTAAGAGTAGCATTGTTGCACATGGAGGGTTCTTTGTCTATTAACAAAGCAAAACCTAAGCCAAACCAAATCACTATGGTGTAGGCAAATTCATTATTTCTATTTTTTTTCCTTAAATGGAATGATATTCGTACACTTTCTCATATTTAATTTTTTATTTTAACTAAAGAAAGATATTTTTAATATTTAATGAAACACATTTCACACAATATTAAACCATGCCCAATAAATTTATGATGCATTGATACAAAATGTCTAACCTCCCTAAATTTAAACATTTTTAAGATGCACACAACTAAGCTTTGTTATTTCACAAATAGTGCAGGTATTGTATTTTCCAAAGCCCTCCTATTTTATGTTTAACAATTTTGACCCTATGTTATCATTCATTTCTACAATGCTCTAATGAAAATGATCATCAATACTGTCAATACCGTCGTACTATCCCGCTAGATTATATTAAGGAAGCCCTATCCTTAATAGATTCCACAGTTGCTAGATTATATTAAGGAAGCCCTATCCTTAATAGATTCTACCGTTGTAGAATTTACTGTAAATAAATTGCGAATATGGTCCAAGTAATAAATTTCCAATTTTCTTTTGGATCCCAATTCCAATACGATCCTCATGTCTCATTAGCCCATATAGCCCCTAAAACCTATGCTTAAAAAGATAAACCTTATATTAATTTTTAAAGAAAAAGAAAGTGTTTATTATTCTCTTTGTTCATGTATTGGATCTCATCAAAGGAAAATAAAGCATTTAATAAATGAATGTTTTTATTAGAAGTTCTTATAGATTTTAATGAGATAGCAATAGAGATTAGACCTAAAAATCTTATCAAGCCTCAATGGAATGGGCCTAGCCAAGTATGGGATAGCCGTTCCGCTAGGCTTCCTCGCCATGTTGATGGGTGCCCGGACTTCTTGAACTGTAAACAAGGTCTCTTTTCTTTCCTGTCCCTGGAGTTTACAGTTGAGCATATGGAGCATATGAAAGACGGAGAGTAAGTTAAAGAAGGGAGAGGCGAAGGAGCTCCTTTCTTTCTCTACAGAGGAGAACAACAAAGGGTTGGACCTGGCCACTGGGTAGAGACTACGAATTAGACAAAGAGAGCTCCTTCGGCTGACATCTCGGGTTGAGAATGATCGTCACGCTTTTTGAGCACCATAAGCTACAAGCTCCCCATCAACCGCCTCGGTTCGAGGGTTTTTCCTTCGAGTCAGGTCCACTCCTTTCATAAAACAAGGGCTCGTTCACTATTACCGAAGATGAATGGTAAGTTACTCGAAGAGGGCTGCAGCACCGATTCATGCTTTTGGAGTGGCTCCCCATCGCTCTTTTTAGAGAATCTAGAGAAAGTTCTTAGAATAAAAATGCCGTGAGAGCCATGCAAACACAAAGTTCTTGCCTTCCTATTTTGTTTAAAATTGTATATTAAATTTCAATTTGTTTTGAATTGTAGTGTTGTTACATTTTTTCTTTTTTGAAAAGAATATTAGTTATTTATAAATATTTAAAATGTTTAGGTTAGGTAATTTTCTCTATGGAATTCCAAATTACAAGTTTGTATTTGTTTTATAATTGCATTATTAAAATGATATTTATCCTTATGTTCTAGAATTTTAAATAAACTTATTTAATAATATCTTCAAACTATCTTGGACTTTTAAATTAAGTTATTTCATCGAAATCAATATGAAAAAAAAAAAAACATATAGACAAATCATTTACCCATTGGGCTGGGTTCTATGGAGAGATTCAAAAAGACTTTGCCCATAAAATCTTGAGGGGAAGCATAAAAAGGAAAAGCACAGAAGACAAAGTGGTGGGCTTGGGTAGTTAACAAATGGTATCAGAGCCAACACCGGACTATGTGCCAACGAGGAGGTTGTTCCCCGGGGGAGACACGATATGTGCCAGCGAGGAGGTTGTTCTCCGAGGGAGACACGAGGCAGTGTGCTAGTAAGGACGCTGGCCCCGAAGGGGGATGGATTTGGTGGGGATCCCACATCAATGGGGGAAACGCACGAGTGCTAGCGAGGACACTAGGGTTCGAAGGGGGTAGATTGTGTGAAAAAACCTTTCCGTGGCAGACACCTTTTGAAAACTTTAAGGGGAAACCCGAAAAGAAAAATCCAAAGATGATAATATCGGCTAGGCTAGAGTGAATTTGTGCTATTACAAGAATGATTTCCTTTTCTAATTCGTTCTTGATTTGAAAACACTCAATATTGAGAGAAAGGACAACTCCATGGGGAGAAAAGAATCTTAGGATTCAAATCTATGAGAAACATAAAAGTTAGTGTGTAGGCTAATTATTCAAACGCTTTTTATTCCTCCATTGCTTCAAGAAAATTGTCGACTAAAAGAATCCTTTGCAAAGACTTCAAATTAAAATGATATGGGATAATTTAACCCTCTCATGAACAACACATAAACATCAAAATAAAATTATAACCATTGTAATGTCCATTTTTTAATCTAATAACATGTTTAAATGTTTTGTTCGTATTAAAATCACTTATTAATTATCTCATGTTATCATGTATAACTGTGAATGTTTGATTAATCCACCACACCTGAATGATGTGAAAGTTATCTTATTTATAATCAAATGAATTACAAGGATATGGAAATAGTAATAAATGGAAATAACAATAAATGAAAAGATACCTATGAATATTAGATATTTGCCTTATAATAAAATATCAAATATAATATATATGGTAAACTATAGTTTATTACTAAATATCCTTAACACCCCATCGCAAGCTAAGCGTCGAATTTAAACGAACGTGAAGCTTGAATCTGAAAAATTTAAAGAGGTTGAGAAACACTTTTCATGAAGATGCTAACAACCCGGTTCTTGGCCATCAAAAATTTGCAGAGGGATCGCCGCTCAGTGGCGATGCTGCCTTGGCTTCGGCGAGAATATGTCTAACCCATGAAGAGGGATTGTCGCTTAGCGACGATGCTGCCTTGGCTCTGGTGAGAATATTTCTAACCCCAAGAAGTAGAAGAGGAAACCTAGAGCAAGGGACAAAGACAATGTTGAAGCCGGAAGAGTCGCCACATTGGGCGAAGGAGCCAATTTTGGCGAGAAGGGCAGTCGGAAGAGTCGCCTCATCGGGCGAAGAAGCCAATTTTGGCAGGAAGGGCGGCGGCAACTTGGTTGGCGAATAGGCCAGTGCGGCACCCAGATTCCAAAGGTAAATCTCTGCAAAAGGTTGATAGGTTTAGGTTAGGGTTTATGTGAAGGATGAAGGTTGATTGGGAAGAAAATGAGAGAGACTATATTGGCCAAGGGGAAAACCGATTGGGTTGGAAAAGGTGAGGTTGTATGTACAGAGTATGACGAAAGGTGATTTGGAGGTCAATAGGGTGGAGCCGAAGAGTAATCAATCGGCTCCGACTACGGCAGCCATGAAGACTGCCCCTGCGGCGTCAAAACCAGCAGGGGTGATGGTGAAGAAGATTAGAGGATTCAAAAACCATTGAAAAGAAAGGATCGGGGTTGTTAAACCGAGAGGGCTCTGATACCATGTGAATGTTTGATTAATCCACCACACCTAAATGGTGTGAAAGTTATCTTATTTATAATCAAATGAATTACAAGGATATGGAAATAGTAATAAATGGAAATAACAATAAATGGAAAGATACCTATGATAATAAGGCAAATATTAGATATTTGCCTTATAATAAAATATCAAATATAATATATATGGTAAACTATAATTTATTACTAAATATCCTTAACACCCCATCGCAAGCTAAGCGTCGGATTTAAACGAACGTGAAGCTTGAATCTGAAAAATTTAAAGAGGTTGAGAAACACTTTTCATGAAGATGCTAACAACCCGGTTCTTGGCCATCAAAAATTTGCAGAGGGATCGCCGCTCAGTGGCGATGCTGCCTTGGCTTCGGCGAGAATATGTCTAACCCATGAAGAGGGATTGTCGCTTAGCGACGATGCTGCCTTGGCTCTGGTGAGAATATTTCTAACCCCAAGAAGTAGAAGAGGAAACCTAGAGCAAGGGACAAAGACAATGTTGAAGCCGGAAGAGTCGCCACATTGGGCGAAGGAGCCAATTTTGGCGAGAAGGGCAGTCGGAAGAGTCGCCTCATCGGGCGAAGAAGCCAATTTTGGCAGGAAGGGCGGCGGCAACTTGGTTGGCGAATAGGCCAGTGCGGCACCCAGATTCCAAAGGTAAATCTCTGCAAAAGGTTGATAGGTTTAGGTTAGGGTTTATGTGAAGGATGAAGGTTGATTGGGAAGAAAATGAGAGAGACTATATTGGCCAAGGGGAAAACCGATTGAGTTGAAAAAGGTGAAGTTGTATGTACAGAGTATGACGAAAGGTGATTTGGAGGTCAATAGGGTGGAGCCGAAGAGTAATCAATCGGCTCCGACTACGGCAGCCATGAAGACTGCCCCTGCGGCGTCAAAACCAGCAGGGGTGATACCATGTGAAGAAGATTAGAGGATTCAAAAACCATTGAAAAGAAAGGATCGAGGTTGTTAAACCGAGAGGGCTCTGATACCATGTGAATGTTTGATTAATCCACCACACCTAAATGGTGTGAAAGTTATCTTATTTATAATCAAATGAATTACAAGGATATGGAAATAGTAATAAATGGAAAGATACCTATGATAATAAGGCAAATATTAGATATTTGTCTTATAATAAAATATCAAATATAATAATATATGGTAAACTATAATTTATTACTAAATATCCTTAACATTGTAATGTCCATTTTTTAATCTAATAACATGTTTAGATGTTTTTGTTCGTATTAAAATCATGTATAACTAATTCTCTTAAAGGGTTAGATTTAAACTCTTTTTATACCTAATTATTTGTTAAAACATGTTTATTATTGTCATACTTCTTTCCGACAATTTTTATTATTCCATTTTATCTTTTACTTTGACCAACTGAGTGAAGTAGTGGCACTTTTCTAATGCGAAAAAGAGTAAAGGGTGTGTGGAAAGATAGAGGAGTACATAGAGAAGAATGTTTTAAACCTAAAACAATTACTTGTAACGAATTCTTTTAACATTATAAAATGTGTTCAGATAGATAGAGACATCATACTATCCTATGAAATATGATGAGGTCGTGCTTTAATCCAAGATATTGGTCA